TAGAAATTGAATTCTATCGAGGAATTTAATTAAAATTGAATTCAATTTCAATTATTTTCAAAATTTGCAATTAAAATTCTTCAAAAGTTGATTTTAAAAAATTTTTATAAACACTTTGAAAAAAAATCAATTAGTTTCAATTAAATTTTATAAAATTTCAATTATTGAAACTTTTTTTAATTGTAAATTTCGAAAATTTAATTAGAAAAATTATTAGTAAGTTGCATTTTATACTAAAAATTATTGCAATATTTGGAAGAAAAGTCGAAAAAGTCGTAATTTTTTTAAATAAGTCGAAAAAGTTATAATATCCGAGGCCTGAATATCTCCTAAAGTTTCAGACCCTCCATCAATTTTTTTTTGGAAAATACTCGTGAAATAAGTGAAAATTGAATCATTGTTATTAAAAGCAAAAAAAATGGCACTTTTCAAAAAATTGTTTATTTGAAAACTATTTTTTAAATAATTTGTTTAAAAAAAAAATTTTTTTTTATAAAATATTTTCTTAAATTGTCTATAAACATGGTTGCCACAAAATCTAGATTTCAAAATTCCAGGCTTTTCCAGGTTTTCCAGGTTAAAAATATTAAAAATTCCAGGTTCAAATTTAGGAATTATTTGTGATGAAAAAACAAGTATTTTACAGAACAGTGTTAACAATATTCATTATTATATAGTTATAAATTAATGTTCTCTTAAACAGTTAAAATCACAGGCATGTTTATGTTTATTTTTCTGAAAGTGATACTTTTGATATTCGATTTTTCAATTTATTTTTTTTAAATTATATGGTTTTTTCTATTGAAACTACTTTATTTCATACTCAAAAGTAAGAATTTTTTTATAAATATTATATAGAAAAATTAAACATCAGACCATTAACTTTATTTTAATGTGCATTCACATTTTTTTATAATATTTTTAATGTATAAAAACATCATTAATCATCGTGAAGTAATTTTAACTTAAACTGAAGACAAAATTTAAACATTTTTATCACATATAAAACGGAGGTACAAAAATTTTTAAAATGCACATAATGATAGAAAAACATTGTATTTTTTAACACTATTTTTAAAAAATTTTTAAGAGTTTGAAAAAAAACCATAAAAATTTAGTTCTCTTATAAATTATAAATTTTTTACTATAAAAATGGTTAATAATATTATTAGAGAGTAGATTCTATAAAATTAATCGAGATATCAAAAATGTCACTTTCAGAAGAATCAGCCATAATTAGAACATTGAAGTCATGTCTAAATTAAATAATTTTTATCTTTAAACTTTGTTCAAAATCTTGAACAGAAAGCAACTAGTAACAAAAAATTTTGACAATCGTAATACTAATAAAGATATAAAATCCTTTTTTTAGAACAATCGTAACAACATTTTTCACAGTTTCAGTCAATAATTAAAAAAAAATAAATTAATTTAAAGAGAAAACATGGAAAAGGGAAATTGCATGTTAACATTTTTAAAGAAAAAAAACATGTTGAATGGAATTTTTCTTAATATCTTTCATTAACCCAAAAAAATTCCAGAAATTCGTTCAAATTCCATGCTAATTCCAGGTTTTCCATATCCTTTTTCAATTTCCATGCTATTTCCAGGTTTTCCAGGTTGTGTGGCAACCATGATAAATAATAAGCATTTCCTGAAAATTTAATTAAATTTCATTGATTTTCCTTTGAGTCAAAACGCGTCAACCGTGAATAGTGAATATTTCCGAGATATTTGCATTATTTTAGAAAAAAATTAATAACTCATTACTGTTTTGCTAGAAATTAATGGCAATTTTTTTGGTAGTCATTGAATATCCACTCTTTTAAATAAACTTAATAGTGAAAAAAAATTTTGAAAAATTTTTAATTTTTAATAACAATTTTATGAACAATTAGTGTTTTTTATGCTTTCTAGAGCAAGGATTTTAATGAAATTTATATGTAAGATACATTGAACCTACATCTTTATATTCCCGAAAAAAAAATTTGTATTTCCAATTACAACCGGAGATTTTGAATTTTTTGTTGCGCCGTGCGGCATCCATCGCTGTGATAAATGCCGCGGTAAACGAGCAGACTGCGCACGGCGCAACAAAAAATTCAAAATCTCCGGTTGTAATTGGAAATACAAAATTTTTTTTTCGGGAATATAAAGATGTAGGTTCAATGTATCTTACATATAAATTTCATTAAAATCCTTGCTCTAGAAAGCATAAAAAACACTAATTGTTTATAAAATTGTTATTAAAAATTAAAAATTTTTCAAAATTTTTTTTCACCATTAAGTTTATTTAAAAGAGTGGATATTCAATGACTACCAAAAAAATTGCCATTAATTTCTAGCAAAACAGTAATGAGTTATTAATTTTTTTCTAAAATAATGCAAAAATTTTTTATTATAAAAAAAGGTATAAATATTTAAAAATTTGAAAAACGGTTAAAAGTGTTTTTTTGGTTTGCTGTGAACTACAGATTTTCATAAATGTTTTGACTTTTCCAAAACTATAAAAAAAATGTATTCACGGTTGACGCGTTTTGACTCCTTTGAGATATACCATTTTCAAAATTTCAAAAAAATTTTTAAAAACCTCGTAAATCCAAAATTTTTCGAAATCGATTTAGGGTTTTTTACTGGCATGTATTCCACTTCAAAATTTTGAAGTTTCAACAAAATTGAAGAAGTAAGGGTCAACTTTGATTTTTTAGGTATGGACCTACCCAATTACGAAAAAAAAGACTCTAACATCAATATCTCTGGTTCTTCTGGGAAGTTATTTAGATAAGAATTGTTTTCAGTCCAGGACACCTTAAAGATGAAAAATCAATAGGTTTTAAATTTTTCCACACCTCCATTTTTAAAATACGGATTACTTTCGCAAATGACCGACAAAATGGGCCTTTTTCATTTTTCTAAAGAACCAATGAAATCAAACAGTTAAATTATCGATAAATTAATGAAAACCGCATGATTCGACTTGTCAAAACATGTAGATTGATAATAAAAAGTAAAAAAAATTAAGACTTTGCTCCAAAATTACTAAATTGCGATTATCTCGAAAACTAGAACCGACAATATGGGGGTGATTCTCCGCGTAGTGCACAATTCAATGTCCCTCGTATTTTTTAAGAAATTAGTTGCAAATATTGCAATGAATTCAAGGAGAAAAACTAATTTCTGTGTTTACAAACAAAAGCCAATAGTCGTTTACATTTAAAAATTTATAATTTAGCTTTAAAAGCTGTTTTAAGGTGCTAAAACGTCATGGTATGGCCTGTCCCCAGTACGATGTATATAAAAAAAAATTTATTTTTAATAAAATACAGTAATTAATCTAAAAACTATTCGTAGTTTCGTATTGTTTATGTTCGTAGAATTGTGAAAAACAAAAAACATGCGAAAAAAATTTAATTAAAAAAATTTTTTTTGATGTTAATTCTTGTCCCTCGTTTTTGCGTCATGGTTTTTTACCATGGCTGGATAGTATTGCCGCAAAGTATATACAGCTATATATAAAAATTATTTGTTTAAAAAATAGAAAAATTATAAATATTTTGTCCGGCCCACCACTGATATTTCATTTATAAACACTAAATTTGAAGATTCTATATTGACTTTTACTCAATTTGAAAAAAAAATCAGTAATAGTAATAAGTAAATCGTGCGCTACGTGGAGAATCACCCATGGACCCACATATAATAATTCATAATTTACAACTAGAAGCATAATGTTGTCTAGTGAAATATTTGAAATGGTTTAGAAGTAGGGTTGATACAATTTTATTAAAAGAATATTAATTAGTATTTGCGCTGTATTTGTATTCGAACGATATTGAATATATTGGCACCTAACAAATTAACAATTTCTTTTAATTTTATATTTTCGTAGAAAATAAAATTAAGCGACTTTTTTCTTAAAATGAATTGTTTTCTTAAAATGAATTGTTTTCAAAATAACAGCAAAAAACTTGATTTTTTAATAATCTGAAGTTGAAATTATTTTCAAGTTTTTTTACTTCAACTTCAAAGGATTTAATCATTCAAGTGTTTAGAAAGTGTTAGTTAAACAATAAAAAAATTAAAACAGAAACTAACATTTTTATTTATTTATTTAAATAAAATGCCAGAAAAAATTATTTAATATTTTCAAATAAAAAAAGTCTGTTGGTAACTTTCGATTTGAAAAACTTTGAGTAGTAGAAATGTTTAGAATAGTTCCATAAAGTTTTTCCAAAAAGTTTAAAACTCATTCGATTAAACAATTTCCATCCTAGAGATTTCATTGTTGCAAGAATTTTTAAAATATATTTTAATGTTTTTTTAATGTGCATTTTTAAGAAGTTTTTAAAAAAAATATAATTTTACATAGTTTATATTATGACATTTTATTAAATGTATAAAATGCATTTCATAACTAAATAAAAAACTTTTTAAGGGGACTTTCTGGTGAAAAATTGGTAAAAAACACACTTTTTTTAAATTCTTATTGAAAAAAATGTGTTACTGCAAAAATTTCTTTTGTATATTGTTACATATTGCAAAAAAAGAATTTAAATTTTTTTTCTGAATATTTTAGTTTATTTTTGCAACTGTAGTTGGCGTTTTACAAATGATTTCAGAGTAACATTATTTACATAAACTAAAAATTCAATTTTAAACAGTAGCAAAAAGAGAAAAATCTATTTTTTGAAATCCTTAACCAGAAAATCTCTTTAATGACTTTTTTCATAATTTTCATTTTTTAAAAGTGTATATTTTAAAGTTGTATAATTTAAATCTATAGTATTTGAACCGCCCCTAATAACTGTGCCTGAGGTTTAACGTTATTTATTTTACTTATGGTAGAATTGAAAAAAATTTCTTATTATTAAATAAATGAGTGTAGAGTTCAATGTTGTACAGTTTAACTGTGCGAAATTAAAGTAAATATTATGGTGTAACTAAAGTGATTTCTAATGATGCTCTTGAATTAATAGATTTAAGTGTCAAATGCATCTTACCTCTAAATTTTTAAAAGCCTTTGAATTCAGTCTAACTGAAATTTTACTAAAAATTCCTGTTGGCAACAAACAAATCTTTCCACTTGACAGAATATATTTATAGATATACTATCCGGCTAGCCGGATAGTCACTTTGGCACCAAAATCATGACAGTTTCTTTTTGGAAAATATCTCAATATTATTTAGTATTTCTTTCTAGAAAATCAAAGTAATTAATTAATTTCCATCACAAAAAAGTATATAAGAATCACTTTTTTTATTATAAAGTAAACGAATCTGTAAATTAAATGTCAAAAAGCGATAAACACAATTTATTCACTTTTTCACCAAATATAATAAATTCAAAAAAACTGTAAATATTATTTTTCCCTTTAAAGTAAAGTTAAAATTACAAAACAAAGTTTAACACTACTCTCTTAATATATAGGTAAAAGTTGTGTTATGACTGTTTTTTGACAACTTTTGCCAGAAAGATAGGCTCGCGAAGACTCACCCTAAAGGAGAGTTTCCAATTAGTCTTTTAAGGTGTAAGCACAACATTGTCGGCAATTGTCGGGAACGTAGACGGTACGGGACTTGGAGACTAGCATTTGAGTGTAACAAGGATAGAGGTAGATGATGAAAACATAAGAACGTGCATTAAAATGCAATGAATTACTGAAAAAAATTATCTTTTCTCAATTAAATGTATATTAAACATATAAATCGTACATATCATAAGTTTTACATAAGAGAGAAAAGGATAGAAATAGTTTTTGTCTTTCTCGTAAAAAGGCTAACAACAATATTTCTATCTTTTTCTCTCTCATGTAAAAATCATAGAGATAATATATATGTTACGGTAAGGCTGCGGTTACACCTCTGCAGGCAGCCTGCCTGCCTGCAGGTTGTCATGGTAACGTACAAGAGTAAGAGAGTCAGTGACTTCAAACTTCTCCCTTACTTACGGAAGCTTCTACGCGCCACCATGTGGCACTCACTCGTGTTGTGCGGCACGTAGAGAGGAACCGGCCTGTTCGTAAAGTCGGTTCTACAATGGGCACGTCGGACGTGGACGTCTGACGTACCGTGCTGACGTCACCCATTTGAATAGCATGGGTGACGTCAGCACGGCACGTCAGACGACCACGTCCGACGTGCCCATTGTAGAACCGACTTTAAGTAGAGTCTCCAATGAGCACGATCGACGTGGACGTGGACGCGACGTGCTCATTGTAGACTCTACTTAAGTTCCTTGATGCGTGCCATACACTGTAAAAAAATCTGCTGTAAATTTACTATGTCCGACGTTGGAAAGTTTGGTCACTATGTCCAACGTGGTATTTTTACACGCCGACTGTAATCTACATAACCTGCAAATATTTTTTGAAATAATATTTTCAGTCGTAACTTTTTGTATTTATGAAATATAGCCCAAAACTTTTTGTTATATTATTATTTACTTATAAATTAGCATATACTTTCTATAAATGTACATTATATACACTTTTTTAGAGTTATTTATAAAAACTTGAAAATTTTTTGAAAATCTTAAAGGAATAAGAAAATTACATTCGCCATGTAATTGTACAGATCGTGCGACGTAATATTACGTCAAAGTGTAGAAATACACGCAATGTAAAAATACCACGTCGGACATAGTGATCAAATTTTCCTACGTCGGACGTAGTAAATTTACACAAAACTATTAAATTACATAGTCGTATAATGTAAAATTATTAAAAATAGTAAAACTACTTTTGGAACGAAATAAATTTACTACGTACAACCTATAATTTTGATGTGTGAAATTACAAGTTTCGTGTTATTTTACACCAGATTTTTTTACAGTGTAGGCTGGAGTCCTATGGTAGCGTTTTGCGTTGCGTTTTGGAACTAGGCAATGAGTGCAAATAAAGCAAACCTATATCTGTATCTCTCTCACACTCATGGCCTAGTTACAAAACGCAACGCAAAACGCTGCCATGGGACTCCAGCCTTAGGCTGAAGTCCCATGGCACCGTTTTGCGTTGCGTTTTGTAACTAGGCCATAAGTGCAAATATAGCGAACGTATATCTCCATCTCTCTTAACTCATGGCCTAGTTACAAATCGCAACGCAAAACGCTGCCATGGGACTTCAGCCTTAGCTTGTAGGCGAGAACAGAATGCCTATGAAAACGTGTACGTTAACGTGAACGTGGTCACGTGACCCATTTGAATAACATTGTGACGTCAGCACGTTACACGTTCACGTAGGCTATTCTGTTCTCGCCTTGTGAAACATAGGAACACGTTCGATGGTTCGGTGGTTCGATGATGTGATTGTTACCAAATAAAAAATTTAAAATAAGAAATAAAAATGAACCAAATTAATTGAAATTGACAATTTTGATGTAATAAAATATTTTTTAGGTATTATTTATAACAGATATTAATTACGAGGTAAATTAGGTGCTTTAAAAAAAATCATATATTTTGAGGTTATAAAATGTTATCACATTTAAGGCCTAATGTTGACCTTTTTCCATTACTTTTTCATAACACATTTTATAACCTCAAAATATATGATTTTTTTTAAAGCACCTAATTTACCTCGTAATTAATATCTGTTATAAATAATACATAAAAAATATTTTATTACATTAAAATTTTCAATTTCAATTAATTTGGTTCATTTTTATTTCTTATTTAAAATTTTTTATTTAGCAACAATCACTTCATCGAACCACCGAACCAGCGAACCATCGAACGTGTTCCTATGTTTCACAAGCTGAAACGACATTAGAAGAAACAGGTTTCCTCTCTTTGCCTCGTGGCGCGTAGGCGCTTCCGTACCTATAGGCGAGAACAGAATGCCTATGAAAACGTGTACGTTAACGTGAACGTGGTCACGTGACCCATTTAAATAACATTGTGACGTCAGCACGTTACACGTTCACGTAGGCTATTCTGTTCTCGCCTTAAGGCCAACGCAGAATAGATCTGTAACCGGAACCGCAATCGTAAGCGTAACCGTAAGAATGAGTTAAAGAAGGATAGGTATATTGTTTATCCTTCTCTAACTCATTCTTACGCTTACGGTTACGATTGCGGTTCCGGTTACAGATCTATTCTGCGTTGGCCTTTATAGGATCCAAAAACTCTGCGTTTGTCTGCGAATGACTGCGTTGCGTTGATTTTAGCATGTGTTGCTATAGCAACCGACGCAGACGCAGTCATTCGCACACTTTTTAGGGTGCGATCCCATGTGAGCAGAATACGTCGACCGAAAACAGAAAACCATGAGAGTAAAAAGAACAACAATATCTACCTATCTCTTTTGCACTCATGATTTTATGATTTCGGTCGACGTATTCTGCTCACATGGGATCGCACCCTTAACCTATTGGAGAAAGGCCTTTAAGGCCTTTCTTCATACCGACTTCGACTCTATTCTGGAATCTGGACTCTCCTTGACTCTCTTACTCTTGTACGTTACCTAGGATGACAACCTGCAGGCAGGCAGGCTGCCTGCAGAGGCATGATCCAAGTAACAAGGTCTCGCCACGCGCAGGCAAAAAAAACGTGGAACCAAGCACCAATCAGAATGCGGACGAAGTGACGACCATATTGAAAGTCTAGCCGCGTATTTTTAAATGTGTTTCAAATCCAGAAAATAAGATTGTTATTGTTATTAATATATTTTTATTTTTAATAATAAATATTATTAATTGTTATTATTAATATTAATACGTATAAAATTATTGATAATAATAATAATAAATATTACAATAAATAGTAATTAATATTAATAAATTATTATGAATGTTATTTTATTTTTAATAATAATTATTATTTTTAATTATTGTTAATATTAATAAATATAAAGTTATTAATAATAATAATAAATATTGCAATAAATAGTAATTTGATTTTCAAGATTCCAAGCAACCAATATATGTGAATGTTATGTATCAAGTTAATAATAAGTATTTAATAAAAAATATTAATATTTAATAAAGAATTATTTTACTTTTAATTTATTATTCTTTATGTTCTTTAAATTTGTTTCTGTATTTGATTCAAAATTTAGCGCTTCAATATGGTCGTCGCTTCAGGTAATCGCTATGATTGGTCGGCTTTTTTATGGTGCGCGAACCGAGTTAAAATTGAGCCCGACTTTGGCGAGACCTTGTTACTTGGATCATGTGCAGAGGTGTAACCGCAGCCTTACTTTTTCTTCTCAGCTGAGATAGCCCCCTTAGGTCATAAATTGAGCTTTGTTCTTGTATTTATCTAAATATTATTTTTACTTCCAAGTTATAAGCTAATACTGACTGATACGCTAACAAGAGTAATTATGGCTGGTCATAATTATTTAAGTGATCCGAAAAATCCTTTCTTTTCATTAGAGAATGATATAGATGACGAAACATTTATTAAAAGTGCACCTCGAAGACCTGCTGTTTCTCCAGTCTATAGTTCCTATAATTCCAGTAATCATTCGAATATGAACAATGAACTTGAACAAAAACATTATGAATTAGTTTCAAAGAAAAAGGAAATTGAAGACAGAACCATTAAATCTTCAGAACGGTCAATTTCTTTATTAAGGGACTCAGAAGAAATTGGAGCTGCGACAGCTGAGGTAAATTGTTTAATGTTCAATTTTTCATTGTAAAATAACAATATGGGCTAGTAAATATTGATTACTTACCTTTCTCATTTATTCAAATAAATTTCTATAATATGTTTATTTTAAAATTTTTTTTTAATCAATTCAAAAGTGAAAGTGTTGACTTTTTCTTTTAAAACTTGCTTTTATTGTTCCATTCAAGTTTAAATGTATACATTAGTTATTTTATTTGTTACTGTACCTAGTATATATGATATTATAGCACATAAATTATTTGACTTTAAAATATTAGGTCAAAATACGATAAAGAAAATTTTTAAAAATTACTTTTTCTAATCCTACACAAAAAAAATTAAAATTTTTTTTATTGTTAACAGCAATTTAACAATACAGAAATTTTGAGGCCTGTGGCTATTCCATAAAGATTATTAAAATATTTATTACACAGAATTTTCATATAGGTGGATTTAAAATTTTCAAACAAATTCGTTTACTGTGTAGATTAAATTATATTTAACTGAACAATACTCTCAATTCGAAAGACTAATATTTGATAAAATCCAAGAAACAACTTTGAGAGGACTTTCTGGTCAAGGATTTCAAAAAAATCGATTTTCGCAGAAATTCAATTATCTTTAGAAATAATTAAATATCCTTCTCCGAAATTCAATTATTTTCAAAAATGTTTATAAAATTCCTGGCAAGATTTCATTTCGTAAAATTCTACGAAAACTTTTAATTGCTTTCATAAAATAACAAAATTTTCACAGGAATTCAATTATTTTCGGAATAAAAATAATAAAATTCTTTTTAGGAATTCAATTATTTTCATAAATAATAACACTTATTTCAGAATTTAAATTATTTTTAATACAATTTCAATCGAATTCCTTGAAAAATGGAATTATTCTTAAATAATTTTATTAAAATTCATGGAAAAAATTGAATTATTTAAAAATTTGTTGCTAAAATTCTTTATGAGAATTAAATTTTGAGAAATATTCATTTATTCAATAAATTATTTTTGTATTTAAATAATTGAATTTTCGTAGAATTTTATAATCAAAATTGATTTAAAATTTAATATATTTTTAAATAACACTTCTGTGACATTAATTTTTTTAAGAACGTTTAATTGGTAATTTTTTTTAAAAATTATTTCAAGTTTTTATTTTCTAATATTTATTGAATTGAAGAATTTACGAATAATTGAAATTTTGTAAAATTGAATTGTAAACAAATCAATCCATCAAAATTTGTTTGAGATAATTTGTACCCAATTTTTGTGACATACACACACACATACACACACACACACACACATACATCTGGACATTTGCTCAGAATTGAATATACATATGTTATAGATGAAAATGAGTCCATATAACCTTCTTTTGAAAAATTGAAAATCGTCACGAATGCAAAGCTTCCTTATGAGGAAGCAAAATTGATCAGATTGACTTGAAACGTAGTACTCGGGGGTTTTTGGGGTCGCTGATTACGAATCTGACATCAGTTTTTCGAAATTCAAAATGGCGGATCCAAGATGGCGGAAATTTTTCAAAATTCGTCGAATTTGCTTGAAACTTGTTACTCGGGGGTTTTAAGGGTCGCTGATTACGAATCTAACATTAGTTTTCCAAAATTCAAAATGGCGGATCCAATATGGCGGACGACAAAATAAAAAATTAATTATAATGGCTTGAAACTGAATACTCGGGGGTTTTTAGGGTCGCTGACTACGAATCTGACATTAGTTTTTCAGGGTATTTATCGAAATTTGATTTCACCAAAAATTATCACACTGATGTCAGATTAACTAGTTTCAAACAAATTCAATAAATTTTAAAAAATTTTCCGCCATATTGAACCAGATATTTTGAGTTTTGAAAAACTGATTTCAGATTCGTAATCAGCGACCCTAGAAACCTTAGGGTACCAAGTTTCATAAAAATCCATTAAAAATTTTTTCAACACACTTTTGGCCCAAACAGTGGAAATCTCGTTGACAGCCAAGAGGTTAAATTAGTGTGAAAATGTAATAGTGTTTTTACAGCACTATAAGTTGAAGTATTTTTTATGATTATATATGACTATGACTTTCATGATATTTATAAGTATTTTTGACAATTTGAATTATGAATTTTAATTATACTAATTGAGGACATTAATGAGTTTTGTGATTTTCTATGAGTATTAGGGTGGTCCAAAAAAAGTAAAATCGGAATTTTAATGCTCTCACCCCCTAGGATTGTTCTATATGGAGAAAAAAATACACCTATTTTTTTTGAAAATAAAAAATTATTTAGAGGTCGCTCAAAAAGCTCAAAGTTTCCCATTTAAAATGCATGGGGAAAAACACTTTTTCTTAGAATTGGTATAGAATCCTTTAAAATCAATATTTTTCATTCAGCAAACTCTGTTTCTCTTCAGAAGACTTCAAAGAATAGTGCTAAATTGTTTATTTAATTATTTTTTTTAATTAACTATTTTTTATAGTGCCCCAAAAAAACCCCATAAATTTAAAAATTATAAAAAAATCGTTAAAAAATATTTTTTACTATTTTTATCAAAGTTTTTTTCTAGATTATGAATAAATAACACAAATATTGGTTATTAAACATTATTCCATGTAATTGCTAATTTGTTTAAACTAATTATTATTGTTTATTTACAACTTTTTATTTAATTGAGCTAAAGAGTTGCGATTTTTTCTCAATTTTGCAACTTGTCAGGCCGAATGTAACCAGTCACTATCAAAGATTATTAATTTTACAAATTGTTTAAAAAAATTTCTATTGTTTAACTTCCACTTTTTATCAAAATGTGCTACAGAGTTGCAACTTTTTCTTAACTGTACATTTTATTTTTTTGTGAGGTAATATTTAATGTAAGACTTATTTATCGAGTAAAAATTGTGAACAATAAATTTATTATTTTAAAAATGTTAAGTACAAAAATTGTTATTTACATAACTGAAATTAGTACTGCGATAGTTTCAAATTTAAAATAACAATTTGTTTAAACAACGGGTAAAATTGTAATTCTTAGATTGTTGTTAGTCACTAGTTACATAAAGGGGGGGGTATAGTTAATTCGGTGAAAAAAACGCATGTTTTTTAGAATTTTTTTTAGCGATACGCAAAAAGTTAATTTATTTTATCACTTTGCATATAACATTGCAACATTTGAACAATATTTTTTTAAATTTTGATTTAAAAATATTAAAAATTGAGCGAGATAATGAGATTTTTCTCAGCCGCGTCAAAAAAAAAATGATTTGCGGTGTACACTCTAACTCGCAACAGAATCATCCAAAACAAAAAAATCAAAATGCATTTGTTAAAGGAGATGTTTTTTGAGGTATTATCGGAAGGGATTTTTTGGTTTTTTTTACTTTTCGATTTTCCGTAGCACTTGAAAGCCAAAAAGTCAATTTTCACTGTAAAAAATCGATTAATTTGTTATTGTAAAATTGGTAATTTTTTAATAAAAAAATAATGGCTTCCGATGTTACCTCAAAAAACATCTCCTTTAACAAATGCACTTTGATTTTTTTGTTTTGGATGATTCTGTTGCGAGTTAAAGTGAACACCGCAAATTTTTGGAGGCGCCTGAGGAAAATGTTAGAATCTTGCTCAGTTCTTAATATTTTTAAATTAAAATTTAGAAAAATATTGTTCAAATGTTGCAGTATTATATGCAAAGCGATAAAATAAATTAACTTTCTGCGTATCGCCAAAAAAAATTCTTAAAAACATGCGTTTTTTCACCGAATTAACTATACCCCCCCCCCTAAATGCAAAATTGAGTAAAAAATTGCGACTCTGCAGCTCAATTTGATAAAAAGTGGAAGTTAAACAATAGTAATTTGTTTAAATAATTGGTAAAATTAATATTCTTAGTTAGTTGATAGTGACTGGTTACATTCGGCCTGAAAAGTTGCAAAATTGAGAAAAAATCGCAACTCTTTAGCTCAATTAGATAAAAACATGTAAATAAACAATAATAATTTGATTAAACAAATTAGCAATTACCTACATGGAATAATGTTTAAAAATCAATATTTGTGTTATTTATTCATAATCTAGGAAAAAACCTTGATAAAATTAGCAAAAAATATTTTTTAACAATTTTTTTGTAATTTTGAAATTTATTTATTTTCAAAAAAATAGGGGTATTTTTTTTTTCCATATAGAACAATCCTAGGGGGTGAGAGCATTAAAATACTGATTTTATTTTTTTCCCATGTATTTTTGGACCACCCTAATGAGTATTTATGACAATATTAGTTTCGTGGTATTTTATGAATTTTAGTTCTAAGGGTCAATCTCTAGAAATGAACAAATTCAGAATTGAAATTTCATTTTAAAAAAAGTTGAAAATTCACTTTTATTATTAGTCCTTTGGCAAAAGGGGGATCCTAATAAGCCTATAAAATACGTGGTTACAATCTTTATCAACATTATTATTAAAAATTAATGTTTTTTAATCAGAATTTTTGTTGAAAATTTCTCGCAGCTAAATGGGTTTCAAAATTGATGAAAATTAATTAAAACTCGTTACTCAGGGGTTTTAGGGGTCGCCGATTACGAATCCGATGTCAGTTTCTCAAAATCCAAAATGGTGGATCCAATATGGCAGACAATTTCTTCAAAAATTTAACGGATTTGCTTGAAACTCGTTACTCGGGGGTTTTCGGGGTCGCTGATTATGAATTTCAAGATAGTTTTTGAAAATTGAAAATGGCGGATCCAATATGGTGGACACTTTTTTCAAAAATTCATCGGGTATGCTTGAAACTCGTTATTCGGGAGTTTTCGGGGTTGCTGATTACGAATCCGATGTCAGTTTTTGAAAATTCAAAATCCCGAAATCCCCAGAGCGACAAGTTTTAAGCCAATCTAATTAATTATTCATACTAGATCAGCCATTTGCAATTTTCAAAAACAAACATCAAATTCGAATTCAGCGACCCCAAAAACCCCCGAGGAACGAATTTCTATCGAATAGCATCAATCTTCAAATTATCCGCCATATTGGATCCGCCATTTAAAATTTTTTAAAACTGACCCAAAATTCGTAATCAGCGACCCCGAAAACCCCCTAATAACAAGTTTCAAGCAAATCCGATGAATTTTTCAAAAAGTGTCCGCCATGTTGGATCCGCCATTTTGAATTTTTAAAAACTAATAACAGATTCGTAATCAGCGACCCCGAAAACCACCAAGTAACAAATTTTATGCAAATCTGAGCAGTTTTTAAAAAAAATGTCGGCCATATTGGATCCGCCATTTTGAATTTTCAAAAACTGACATGAGATTCGTAATCAGCAACCCCGAAAACCCCCGAGTAACGAGTTTCAAGCAAATCCGATGAATGTTTTAAAAAATTGTCCGCCATGTTGGATCCGCCATTTTGAATTTTCAAAAATTATTATCATATTCGTAATCAGCAACTCTAAAAATCCCCGAGTAACGATTTTCAGGCGAATCCGATGATTAATAAAGTCTGTAATTTACGTGCTGTGTAATGGAAATATACCATGGGTAACGGAGGGGAGTTTTCTTCCATTATACAGCTTCAAAATGTTATGATTATAATATAAAAAAAATAAATATTATAATAAATTAATGACAGCATTTGTTTTCTTTGTTTTTAAATAAAACAATGTTTTAAAGATTATTAAAAATTATTATTATTTACGTCCTAAAAACTAAATTTACTGCGGTAACGGAGGGGAGTTTTTATTGTGTCGATGAACACTGACAAACTAAAGATTCTTTTAAAACTAATTGTTTTCATCTTGTTTCATCATTTTATGCAATAACCATAACTATACTGACACTACAAAGAGTTTTGATGTATTTATTTCTATTTTATCGTTTTTGTTTATATTTTATAATTATATTTGTGAGCGGTAACGGAGGGGAGTTTTATTTCTGCACAAAACTAATTTAATTCTAGGTAAAAATAACTAACAAATATTTTACTTTATTTTTCATGATTCAATTAGAAATAAAATAATAAGTAGATATTACCGGGCAAAAGATTTTTTTGTATTACAGAATTAATATAATACCTTTTCTATAAATGAAACTTACTTCATGAACGGTAACGGAGGGGAGTTTTTATGCTATATAAACACGTGTATCTTTAAATATTTCAAATTTTCGATTTATTTTTCATAGGATCCGATTAAATCATGATGAATGCTATTATTAGGACGTAAAGATTTTGAAAAATTATTATTATTTATTTTTAAAAATCTAATGTACGTGTCATGTGTCCCGATTGTGAGAATGACCCCTAAATAAATTGAGGACATTAAATATAGCAATATAAAACAAACTTTACGTCTGCAAAACAATAAAAATTTTCCAAAAATACAAAAATTTAACTTCAACAGACAGAATTTTGTTTTTTTAGGCAAACTTTAATTTTAAAAAATCTAAAGGTGTAGAAAACGTTGATCAATAATATTTTATGTTTATAAATAAAATAAATAAAAAGTTTCAAGAAACATTTTTTTAAATAGTAATAAATATTTTAACAAAATTCTTTCATTTTTTGAATTATAGAGACATAAATAATCCAAAGTATCATAGTTTTAAAAATTATCCCGCAACTACTTTAGGTAGTTTAGGTCAAGTATAATGGATTGATCCTATTATTTTTATTTTCAAATAAATTTTTTCCAAAAGAATAACAAATTCTGTCAGTTAATGATTGGTTCTTGCCAATATTCATAACAATTCAATTATTTAACTTTTAGAGTTTTATTAGATATATTTTATAAATATTCTGCTCGAATCCTGATATTTTCTACCCCCTTAGATTTTTTTGAGTTAAATTTTACCTAATGATGAACATTGTTTATAACAATTCAATTTCTCGACGCCTCCCGTTTATATAATGCTTATGGAAAAACAAATTCGCAAGCTCATTCTTATTCAAATCTATATTGCAAGATAATTCTTATTGGATTGTTCAACTCGGTTTTTCAAAACTTTACAGGAGACACAAAAAATGTATATTTCAAACAGCTTTGATTAAAAGTCCAGTTATTCTTCGTAGTTACTAGAGTTTATGTCCTTAATAAGTGAGTTGGAAAAAATTGATATTATAGTTGTCAAAGTTGAGCCTTTTTCAAAATTTATGAAAAAATTTAATCATTTTAATCATAAAAATATATTAATAAAATGTTTTACTATCGGGAAACAATTTATTTATTTAATTTTAAAATGTATTAATTTTTTTTAACTCGAAAACAATCCAGCATTATGTTACAAAACGTCAATTAATATATGTAATAATGCAAAAAATGTAGATATCTTCGTATATAAACTATAAATACCCACTGAAATTATCAGATAAATAATTGTTGTAATTTAATATTAGAAGGAAAATTTAGGTTACATTTATAGATCTGTTAATGGCAATTGTTTTCTTTTGCTGTAGGTCAGTACCTTGGTTTTGATTGATTATTGTTAAATCGAATTTGTCTTTGATGTTGAACAAATTTCTACCACATCCTTATTTTAACAGAAGTTTCATTCATCCTTACTATTATTCTTTTCGCTCTTAGTATTGTACCCAGTTACTATAGTTTATAAGACTTACTGTACTTTTTTAATTATTATAATAATTAAATTTATTTCTTTTTTTAATGAAACTTTAATTTGTTTACAGGAATTAATAAGACAACGAGAGCAACTGGAACGAACTGAGAAGCGATTAGATGATATTAATACAACCTTACGTTTCAGTCAAAAACACATTCAGGGAATAAAGAGTGTTTTTGGAAGTTTAAAAAATTATCTGAGTGGAAAATCAATTGATGTACCAGCTTCTTCAGTTGCTTGTGCAATTCCTGAATCTTATAGTGCCCAAGCTATTTCTTCTTCTGCTAATTTGACAAATTCTTTGGAACAAACACGAAATCATTTAATGGAGGGCGAACATCCATCCTTTAGATTGCGTGGTCTTTCTGAAGAAGAATCTGTCAATAAATCCATGACAAATAACATAAGCACAGCATTAGAGAAAAATCTTGACGAAATGAGCGGTTCACTGGCTAGACTGAAAGGCTTGGCAATTGGACTATCCGAGGAAATCGATTCGCAAAACGATCTAATTGATAATATTGATGACAAAACGGATAAAGCAGATATTATGCTGAAGAAACAAAATAAAGATATGAAACATTTACTAAAAAAGTAAAACAAACATTTTTAATGTAAATTAAAGTATAGAAATTTCAAATTTTTTAAATCAATTTGTATAAAGTAGTTTTTTAAATTTACATAGAATTATTTTATATTGATTTCTTTCTTTGATAGGAATATATAATATATCATATACATTTTCAGAATACTTTTTTAACAATGTTGAACTAAAACAACAAAGAAAGACTTAAGATTATCTTTTTGATTTTGTATTATACTCCATATAAGAATAATTTATTATATTACACTACAATGTAAATAAATTAAAGATAGTTATAACTTTTAATCTATTTACAGTAAGAATAATGTTTTCCAATTTTATAAACAAAAATGTTAACAAAATTTTTAAACTTTTTGAGATAGGTTTTTACATTACAGAATATTATGAGTTATGGTATGTGATACTGCAATTACAATTTTTTTATTCCTTTAGAGTTAAATACATTTGTTGTGTTGTTTATTTAAAAAAATTTATGCTTATGATTTGATATACCCACATATGCTTAGATATATGCTGTGGGCAATACAATAATAAATTGTATAAGAAATGGGAACTTTGATTTGTATTTCTTTCTAGTTCCAGTAGAACGTTTATATTGTGACTTTCTAAATTTAAATTTGCTTTGAGTTGGTTATTGTCACCTAAGTTCCAATTTATTTCTACCGGGTAGAACATGAACTTGTTTCAACTTTGATATCGATTCACAAATGGAAGTCCAAAATAGTTACAATTAAACTACCGTGGTTGCACCGGTTTCCGTCCACTTTTTTATAATTTCGATTATATTAAAGGGAATAAATTTGTTTACTACATTTGATCATTTTTACTAGAGTCTATAATATCTAATGCTCTCTTTGCACAATTATAATTTGAACGTTAAAATTCTACAAAAATAAAATAAGAAAGTCCTCCAGTGCTGTCGAGTGCCTTCTCATGACAGAAAATAGTGGCCATTAAAAAAGCAGTATTGGAAGAGAGCGAAATCGCATTGGCGGTGAGTATTGGGGGCATTCTGCCAATCCTGCTTTTTCACCGTCAATCCTGTCCTCTTGAATCTTTCTATTTCACGTTTATTGACTCGATTTGTCATTTTAATCAAAAATACTGATTGATTTAATGTGTAAAAATGCTGATAACGAACAGGAAATATAAAATTTTGTTAAAATGTAAATAAACGAAATGTGACAAACACAAACTGTTGGTCTATTACCATATGATTTAGGGTATTTTCTAGATAAGCGCTGTGACTTATACTCACAGCGCCCCTAGCACGAACGTCGAAAGCTCCCTAAATCATGTGGTAATAGATCAACAGTCGAGTCGATCAATAAACGTGAAATCGAAAGGTTTCAGGCCAACGCAGAATAGATCTGTAACCGGAACCGCAATCGTAAGCGTAACCGTAAGAATGAGTTAGAGAAGGATAGGTATATTGTTTATCCTTCTCTAACTCATTCTTACGCTTTCGGTTACGATTGCGGTTCCGGTTACAGATCTATTCTGCGTTGGCCTTTCAGAGGACAGGATTGCACGTGCGTGAAGTTGGCACAACAACCATAGAATAATTAACTTTTCTAGTATGGAATCGTTTGGTCATCGTTTGTTCGTGTTAGGAAACTAACTTTCAACGTTTGGATACAATAAATAAAAAAGTTATTCAACTTTTAAATTTATAGTTCTAACTTCACATTTGCACAACAAAAGTTAATATTTTTTTAAATTTTTAAGGCCGATCGTTTGGTCATCGTTTGGATAAGATTGGAAACACCATTTAAGCGTTTGGACGATTCATAAAATAATTATAAAACGTTTTAAAGATTTTTGTTCACAGCACACTGGAAATGTATTAAGTTGCGCGTAAAAGGAACTGCGCATGGGCATTCTTAGCGCGAAATTTTAAAATATGCTTGCATTACTCATAAAGACTATTATTGTTAGTTTTTAAATAAATTGTAGGTGCAAAGAAATTAATAATGTTAATAATAATTAATTAATTAATGTTATTATTATTACTATTATTGTTAATTTTTCTAGTATGGGTTCGTTGGTTCATGTTTGGATAAACCAACTTTCAACATTTGAATGCAATAATTAAAAAAGTTATTCAACTTTTATAAATATTAAAAACGCAAATAAAAAATTTTGAATTCAAATTGTGATTACAAAAGAGAAATTATTCAAATTTTTTCATTTATTTAAAGAAAATATAATTTTGTTAAATATCGTGATTAAAAAATATGAATTATGCAATTTTTTAACTTCTTAAAAAAATATTTGATATTTTGTTAAAAAATGTTAGTTTTGAACTAGGAATTATGCAAATAGTTTTCTCTTTTTATACAACAAACTTATAATTTCGTGAACGCGCGAAATTGTACAAACAAAAAAATAACCTTAATTTTTTATTGAAAAGGAATTAAAAAAATTTAGCATGTTTTCTTTAATAATATTTCTCTTTTCACAATGACAAATTGTTTAAAACTTTTTAACTTTACTTTACTAAAATTAAAAAACAATTTAAATTAACCATAGAATAAATAAAATAATAATAATTGAAGTTAAAGTTTTTTATTCCAATTTTTTGTTTTATAGTTCGATTTGTTATATCAAAAGTTTGACAGTTAATTTATATATAATGAAATAAGTGGATTAAGAAAATCTATCCCAAATTTCAAAAACTCGAAAAAGAGGTACAGATGCAATTTTTTAAAATAATTAATCATTTTATGCATTATTTATTTTTGTATGTAAATAATTGGATTCTCGTAGTTGAATTTTAATAAGAATTGATTTAAAAAAAAGAGGGACCGCAAAAAGTGCCCGTTCTTTGTACATCGACAATTATCACAAAACATAAGTAAAAAAATTCGGCCAAAAATCTTCTTAATCTGCGTGAAAATTGTAGTTGATCACAATTTTTGGTTTTTATTTAAGGGTAGCCAAACTCCTAATTCAACCCTCTAAAAATTGACAAATCATGAAATTCATAACACCATAAATTCAACAAAAATAATTAATTATCAACGGGAAAACTGATAAATAACGAATATAAAAAATCCCTTTAATAAAAAAACAATCTTAATTACCTTAAAATCCTCAAAATGCTTTTCAACCCCCAAAAAACTACCCCTATTTGAAAAATTGACCAAAATAAACACAAAAAAATTATTACTCTCCAAAATCTTCATCAAAAATATAAATAAAATCAATTAACTAGTGAAATGTGTAATATGGTAATTTTTTAATTAGGGGTAGTTTTTGGGGGGGGTTGATTAATCTACTCTAGCATGGAATTAAAGTCTCGCTAGTTAGTTGATTTTATTTATAATTTTCGTGAAGATTTTGCACCGTAAAAATTTATTAAATATATGTAATATGGTAAAATTTCTAATTAGGGGTAGTTTTTTGGGGTTGATTGATTAACTGTAGCATGGAATTAAAGTCTGGCTAGTTAGTTGATTTTATTTATAATTTTGGTGAAGATTTTGCGGAATAATAATTTTTTAATGTGTAATGTGGTAATTCTTTTAATTAGGGGTAGTTTTTGAGGGGTGGATTAATCTACATTAGCACGGATATTAAGTCTCACTAGTTAATTGATTTTATTTATATTTTTGATGAAGATTTTGGAGAGTAATAATTTTTTTGTGTTTATTTTGGTCAATTTTTCAAATAGGGGTAGTTTTTTGGGGGTTGAAAAGCATTTTGAGGATTTTAAGGTAATTAAGATTGTTTTTTTATGAAAGGGATTTTTTATATTCGTTATTTATCAGTTTTCCCGTTGATAATTAATTATTTTTGTTGAATTTATGGTGTTATGAATTTCATAATTTGTCAATTTTTAGAGGGTTGAATTAGGAGTTTGGCTACCCTTAAATAAAAACCAAAAATTGTGATCAACTACAATTTTCACGCAGATTAAGAAGATTTTTGGCCGAATTTTTTTACTTATGTTTTGTGATAATTGTCGATGTACAAAGAACGGACACTTTTAGCGGTCCCTCTTTTTTTTAAATCAATTCTTATTAAAATTCAACTACGAGAATCCAATTATTTACATACAAAAATAAATAATGCATAAAATGATTAATTATTTTAAAAAATTGCATCTGTACCTCTTTTTCGAGTTTTTGAAATTTGGGATAGATTTTCTTAATCCACTTATTTCATTATATATAAATTAACTGTCAAACTTTTGATATAACAAATCGAACTATAAAACAAAAAATTGGAATAAAAAAATTTAACTTCAATTGTTATTATTTTATTTATTCTATGGTTAATTTAAATTGTTTTTTAATTTTAGTAAAGTAAAGTTAAAAAGTTTTAAACAATTTGTCATTGTGAAAAGAGAAATATTATTAAAGAAAACATGCTAAATTTTTTTAATTCCTTTTCAATAAAAAATTAAGGTTATTTTTTTGTTTGTACAATTTTGCGCGTTCACGAAATTATAAGTTTGTTGTATAAAAAGAGAAAACTATTTGCATAATTCCTAGTTCAAAACTAACATTTTTTAACAAAATATCAAATATTTTTTTAAGAAGTTAAAAAATTGCATAATTCATATTTTTTAATCACGATATTTAACAAAATTATATTTTCTTTAAATAAATGAAAAAATTTGAATAATTTCTCTTTTGTAATCACAATTTGAATTCAAAATTTTTTATTTGCGTTTTTAATATTTATAAAAGTTGAATAACTTTTTTAATTATTGCATTCAAATGTTGAAAGTTGGTTTATCCAAACATGAACCAACGAACCCATACTAGAAAAATTAACAATAATAGTAATAATAATAACATTAATTAATTAATTATTATTAACATTATTAATTTCTTTGCACCTACAATTTATTTAAAAACTAACAATAATAGTCTTTATGAGTAATGCAAGCATATTTTAAAATTTCGCGCTAAGAATGCCCATGCGCAGTTCCTTTTACGCGCAACTTAATACATTTCCAGTGTGCTGTGAACAAAAATCTTTAAAACGTTTTATAATTATTTTATGAATCGTCCAAACGCTTAAATGGTGTTTCCAATAAGGTAGTTCAAGTTGGGTGGGGGAAATCCAATATGGCTGACATCAGCTGATTTACCGGAGGACAAACAATGCATTGAATTCAATGGGACAAATCAGTTTTTTAACCATAACTTTTTAAATATTTATTTTTGAACCATAGTGTAATGGAAAATTATTCTTTATTTATCGAAATCTATTTTTTAAAACAATAAAACCAAAAAATTTAATTTTATTGTTTTAAAAAATAGATTTCGATAAATAAAGAATAATTTTCCATTACACTATGGTTCAAAAATAAATATTTAAAAAGTTATGGTTAAAAAACTGATTTGTCCCATTGAATTCAATGCATTGTTTGTCCTCCGGTAAATCAGCTGATGTCAGCCATATTGGATTTCCCCCACCCAACTTGAACTACCTTATCTTATCCAAACGATGACCAAACGATCGGCCTTAAAAATTTTAAAAAATATTAACTTTTGTTGTGCAAATGTGAAGTTAGCACTATAAATTTAAAAGTTGAAT